ATTGCACTCAAGGTTCTTGGTCTGAAAAAAATGAAAATTCTCGCGCCGAATGGTCAACCAGCCTAGGTCAGCTCGTCGCCACCTGCTCCCTCCTCCTTTTATGGCGACGCCAGGTTACTGAGGCAATACTGTAACAGCTCCCTCTAGCAAACCTAGGGCCGTGTAGTGCCCGTCCACCTTTCTGATGGTGTCTGCCTCCGCGCACAAAAATGAGATGGGCATCACTGCCAACGCCGACGGCCAGAAAGGCCCGCGCATCTACATTTTCCCGCCTGACCCCATCAGTGCCGACCCAACTCCACCACCACACGCACGCCTCGCGGCGGATGCGCAGCAGCAAGAAGGTTTCGGTCATCCCTTGAGGGTGAGTCTATCCCTACTCGCCAGAAAGACCCCCCCCTTCGGTACAACCCATGTCTAAGCAAAAGCTAGTCGAGGAGCGAGGNGTGTTAAAGACCCGATTCGCAGGGTATCCGTCGATTGACTTTTACCTGAATCGGTGCACCTTCGCATATGATGTATTTTCTCCATAAATAATACGTCCACTCGCAGACGGCGTGGGAAAATACCGAATTTTGGACAAGGAAGGGTGCCCGAGAAAAAGTGTCTCCGCACACGTACGTACCGCCCCCCCCGCCCTCCCGCCCCCCCGAGGACCCCAAATAAGAAATAAATTATTGCCTTTCTTTCCCATATTTTTGTTCTGATTCATTGACGTGTGCAACAGCATATTTGGTGAAATTGAGAGCGAAGCATGAAATTGAGAGCGAGAGCCAAAATAATTAAAATTCGGGTCCAGACGCCTCTTGCCATTTCTTGGGAAGTACGGGGCGGGCTCTTCCAAGAAGCGGCGCAAATTGAAGGCCTCATCAGCAGCAGCGTCACGAGCATACGCACGCGTGTCATCGTCATCGGATGCTGCAGCTAGGAGCTAGACAAGTTGCTAGATATCCCCAGATTGGCTATTCCTGCCTCAAACTGTTGCAGGGCGGTTTGGCCTCTGGCGGTGGGGCTATGCTGTAGTTTCTACTCGCCGCTGTAACTCCACATCGAGAGACTCCCACAGGATGACCAGGGTATCTGCTTGTAGCTACGGGCTGGCCCTTCAATTCAAGCTACACAGCAAGCTCCACCTCTCAGCAGTAGTCCAGCTGCAGCCTATCGCGCAATCTCGCTCTCAATCAGATGCTTCGCTCTCAATTTCACCAATATCGTGCGTGGTGTAGTGTACGAAAACTATCTATTTCACCTGTAGTTTTGGCACTGCAACAGAACTGGGCCCTCAATATTGTGGGATTACGTCCTGAAATTGTACCGGCACTATATTGGGCACCAGCAATAATCAGAATAGTTCCTCATAGCGCCGGTCCGACACTACTATTATTATTGAGGTTTGGAGGTGTTTGATTTCATGGTGTGGCGCTCACGCTTTGCGGGGCCAACAACAGAACAATAGCAAATGGATCGAAAAAAATGTGTACTAATATTGGACGAAGCTAAATCTCAGTCCTCGTTGCCCTCCTTCGATGTTGCAAGATAGGCACAGTAAGCAACGACAACACGAACAAGAAACACAACAGGAAGCGAGCTGCCAAAAAACAAACAACCATGTACCGCCCAGCCTCACTACATACAACATTCGTCTCGACAAAGCTCTCCTTATTTCTGCCTGGCGCACCCGCTTCGATGTTGCAAGAAAACAACAATTTTAAAATTTTTTTTTAACTTGCGGGAAAAATGGGAACGTACCCAAAAATGAGAATGGGCGTTTGTTTTTAGAAAGCAAACCACGCCTTTGCAACTCCCCCCATAAAAGTTGACAGTGCTGTAGGTCTTTACAGCAGCTTTCGAATGAGCTGTTGCTCAAGCTGTATGTCCTCGGCATCGCCGAGGTAGCCAGCATCGCGAGAAATCAGGTCGAAACCAGCACGAATCGCTTTTTGCGCCCGTGAGAAGGCGTGATGTGGAGCATGGCGGTTCTGATGAGCTCATCTCGCAGCTGGGGCGAAGGGGTTTCGCAGGATAATTTTGGTTCTGTGATACACCCGATGGTTCTGAAGAAAAACGCCAATTCTCATTTTTGGGTACGTTCCCATTTTCCCCGCAAGTCTGTAAAACAACAAAAAAAACCCAAGAAAAGCACGACAGGAATCGCACCGCAGAAAAACAAGCCATGTACGTACCGCCTACTACCCTCACTCCGTCGCGACAAACTCTCTCAATGTCTGCCTAGCGCACGTACTTCGATGTTGCAAGACAAAAATACATAAAGCACACAGGAAGCGCACCGCACGAAAAGCAACCACATGCACCACCCGACCGCACAAAGTTTCGACAAACTCTCTCATGTCTGCGTGGCGCACCCGCTTTCTTACTTTGCGGAATGCGCTGCGATCATCGCCATCTTCGCACAAGGCATGGTACGCCTCTGCGCAGAGCTATTCTGTGTGGCGTCTGTCCTCCGCCTGTGTTGTGTGTGTTTTTTGTTATTGGCATCGACCGCGCTAACCGGCTGACCAATGAAAAGACGTCAGTCTCAGTGCGGTTGAAAATACAAAAAATACTTCCAAATGTCATAATAACGGGGAACCCGTGAGAGGGCGGCATGAGGGAGGCTAAGCTATTCTCCAGAATATATAGACAGAAACGGTAGCAACAGAATAAACTGCACACGTCTACGAAGGCTGCTACCTTGCACTCCGAGTTAGTTTTGGATATCATCCTCCTTGCTTTTAACTCCATCGTTCTTGCGTGTGTGTGTAGACCGGCGCTGTGGTGCCAAATCGGCACTATATCGGGGCTGCCCTCAACAGTGCAGGCCGGCACTATCGAGGGCGCTGTCTGTTTCCAGAGATTTTACCGGACTATACCGGGCACCGGCACTATTCAACCGGCACTATCGAGGGCCCAGTGCTGTATTCGCCTAGGCCCTATGGTCCCCCCTGAGGGCGCACTGATCATGCTCTCCCTGGTACACAATACAGCGCACAGGCTCGCCAGGGCGCAGCACACTCGCAGCGCACAGGCTAGGGGGCACGCCGATGCCCAAAGACTCCCCTACGTCATACTGTGCCCCTTTAAATATAGGAGTTAGTACCGCATTGGTTAATAAAGGATTTAGTATAGCGTTATAGGGGAGGGGATGGTCACTCCGTACCCTCCCCCCCCCAAAAAACCCTCGCACATAAGAAAATGGGTGCGTAGGTGTCGGAGAATTTGTTTTCGGGCACCCTTGGACAAACGGCCGTTGAAACGCATCATACGATGTATCACGTCCAAGAAGAAGGGCGTGACCCGTGGCGGCAGCGAGGACAACGTACGCCCACACAGCTATCGAGGCGGTGGCGCTATCACCGAAAAGAAAATGAACGGACAGCCGCACGGGGTAGGTGGTTTCAAGGGCTGTGCCAGAGCCAAAACCACCCTACGTCGAATGGGCACCGAACGACGACTGTGGACAGATGCAGCTCCTGACGCCTCCATGGCTTCAAGAAAAGCATCGCTAATGAAAGACGAGGGTGAGCCTGAATCCACAAGCGCTACACCGCTGTACACACTGCTCCGGTACCACTTTACACACGGACTCGCGTCGTAGAGGTATCGCAATCAATCACAAGGTTACCTCTCACCAAATAGGGGGCGTGTTCCTCCAACAACGGCTTCCCCATCGGCGGCGGGGGAGCAGCGGCTTCGCGAATAGCGGCAGAGGCAACGTGTAGCACCTGCTTCGAGTGGTCCGCGGACATGTTCGTCGGCACATCCAACGGGCTACGTTCGTCCTCGGAGGAAGAATCATCCGCTGGAGATCCATCACCCGGGGGCGCAATTTCATTGATGGTGGGACACGCGGAGGCAGGGAACCCCGAATGCTCAGGGCGTAAAGTCTTGTCGGGTTCGACCAGGCGCACACGCAGAAGCGTGCGCGTCGCAACGAGCGCTTGCCCAAGAGGTTCTGATCAGGATTTTTGGAGGGCGACGTCGCAAACCGATCGAAGGCTCCAACACCAATGCCCCACAATCCGTCAAAAGGACTAGCCTCCGGAATCTGCCTGTCTCCCGTAGTCAAAAAACCCCCGTGCGCGTCAGCATTTTGAACGAATTTTGCACACAAACCAAAAAGACAACACCCTCGCATCTGAGCTCCCAGAATGCGTGGTCAAAACCTCGCACCTTGCGACCAAAGGACTTGTGTTCTCTCGGGTCGGAGGTAGCCATGAGTTTGGCACAAGCGACATGATCGCCGGAAATGCGGGCTTTTTCCGCCATCATGAACTGTTCGCCGCACACATCGCGACTGCCGTGAACTGAGAATGCACAGGGCGTCCAGTTGGACAGAAAGGACGGCGGTTTGCAAAACAGGAAAGCCTCATCGTCGTAGCATTCCTGACTTCCGTCAAAAACAGGGGCCTGTCGCGCGGGTGCGATTACCTTCCCCGAAGAAATATCGTCAAGGGAAGTGGCAACGGCAACCGGCATGACAAACTGGGTGCCGCCCGAGGACGGGTCGGACTGTGGGTTACAAGGAGAGGCAGGCAAAAGCGGCGAACCAGCCGTAGAAGCGAGCAAGCGATTTATGTGGGCGTTTTCGCGCAAAACGTCAGCGGAGGCCTGTTCATTGCAAGCGGCCTTGGTCGCGGGCGCTCGACCAACATGGCCAGCGGCCGCGAGAGGCTCCGGACCGTTATTTCGTGACAAAGAGCATGAACCTTCCGATTTGGGGAAATCGTCGCTTGCGCTCGGCAACGGCGGTGAAGTCAGCACCTTGCGACGTTGATGCTCCGTAGAGGACCATCACGAAGGGTCTGACGGCACGCGATGGACGCGAGCATACCCGAGCCACCGCGGCGGGCTTGGGGCCGTCCCGAAGGTCCCTGGGCTCCGGGGCTGACGAGACCACCCGGAGCCGCCGAAATGGTCGGAGGCGCGGAAGCCATGCCTTCAGGGTGCGTGGACATCGGGGCGAGCGTCCGTGAGACACGCGAAGTCTTGTCGCCCCCTCGCCCACACCACAAGGCGGTATTCGGCGCCGACTGTCTCGACGGTCACCCAAAACAGGCTGTGATGGCGTGGGGCGACATCTGAGAAAAGAAAGGCTGGGATAGTAAGATAGGCAATCCCGAAAACGTCCGTTCGATACGAACGACTAGGGAACTAGCCGTACAGTGCACAACCGGTACTGTTGACGGCGATGTGTACAAAAGGCCGTCACCGGCGTGTCAGTTACCCTGCGAGTGCGGGGTTCCAGAACTCCGGGCGTACGGGGTTCCAGAGACAGCGGTAGGCGCCGGCGCCACGGCGGCGCCTGTGGCCGGCGCGGGATGTGGGGTGTGTGTGTTTGAGTTACGTTTCCCAGATCGGCGGCCTTCGTCCTGAGTTTGGCCGCTGCTCGTACGTGGGCCATTTCGATTGTTCACACGCGGGCGGTGAGGCTTCATGCGGTTTTGCCAACGTTGAACGACCTGAACGCTATCAGCATGCGAACCAATGGCAGGGTTCAAGAGCCGGTGTAGTTGGTGAAAGAATACGAGCAAGTTTTGAGGCTGTGCCCCGCCTGCCCGCAGTTGAGACATTGGCCAGAAAATTGCCGCAAGGCGTGTATGCGGTCAGGAGGGTTCAACAGCGGTGTGAACAAAGAGGGATCCATCTCAGCCATAATCGCCACAACGCTGTACACGTAGCCGCAGTGGCCACGTAACGTCAAGCAGTCGTAATCCTGCTCGAAAGGGTGTGTGTTATCGGACAGCACAGGGTCAATGGCCATCACCCCAGCGAGAAAGCGTGGTCCAGGCGACCACGCGGACGGCTGCAGCGGCGGCGGCGGCGGTGGCGGCCGCTGCTGCCCCACGATCGCGGTCATGGCTCGTGTCGGCGCCGATGAAAACGCATAAGTAACAGTGGTAAAATAGCGTTCGCCACTACGGGCGGGCGAGTGTATTAGTGCTTACTCCGGCGACAAAGCATCCCAAAACCTATCCTGATTACTAGACGCCACGTTGTTGAGAATCTTATCCTTCAACGGCAAACACGAGAGAACATTCGGTTAGTGCTCCAACAAAGCGTTCCTAAGGGCAAGCTGTACCATGCGTAGATCCGGCGCGAAAGCCCTACGCGTGGCCAACTCCGACATTGCCAACGCCTTGAACTTCGTAACGAATTTGCTGTACGACGTGCCGTTGGGCACACCAAAGACCTGAAGCTTGTCTGTGCTCCGGTTGAAACCTTTCGGTTCCTGCTCGTCCGTGAGCAGCTTGAGCAGCCTACGGTATGCCGAGGGCCCCGACCTGTCCTTTGTCTCCAGAAAACGCTTCACCTGAGAAAACGAATAATCCACCAATTCGCGGATTGAGGCATTCGCGCCTTGCGGGTTCGAAATGGCGATGATGACACGCTTCTGAAAAGGGGCATACCATCCGGCCACCTATGTGGGCGACTTTATGGTCTACTTGCCCGAGGGATCAGCGGCCGACAGGATTTCAGCCAGCACACTTTCGGCCAAACGAACGAAAGCAGAAAATTCTACCCGGCGAAGCGAAACAACCGCATACTTTAAGCTTGCTCTATTCTTCGCGCACGCTGAGAGCGGACGCCTCTGCGGCGGCAACGGCGGTCGCGTCCAGCTGTGCCTGTGCTGTGCGTGCACCGGCAGACTACAGGGGGACCTGGTCTAAGAAGGAAAAACAAGAGATCGAATAACAACTGAGAGTACCCGAAGCTGGAAGCAACGGACTTGCTCCATTCACCTTGTTTCTCTGTTCCTCCATTATAACATTGTGGCGTCGTCGACAGTCCTGCTGCATGCAGCTGCCCCTGCTGCTGCCACTGCAGCTCCTGCTATAGCTGTTCCTACTGCTTCTGCGGTTGCGGCTCCCGCTGCAGCGGCCTCGGCTGCCCCTGCTGCAATACCCGCTGCTGCTGCTGCGGTGCGGCTCCTGCTGCAGCTGCCGTTGCTCCTGCTGTTTCTGCGGCTTCTGCTGCAGTGGTCCCGGCTGCTCATGCTGTGGTAGCCTCTGCTGCTGCGGCTGCGGCTCCTACTGCCGTTGCCCCTGCTCCTGCGGCTATCGCTCCGGAAATTGCTGTTCTACGGCCGCTGCTGCTACTGATGCGATGCCTGCCGTGTCTGCGATGACCGCTGCATTGGACGCCGTCGACGCCGAGGTTGCCTCGGTTGCTGCAGCTGATGGTGCGATTGCTGCTTCGGCAACTGCCGTGACTGACGTGATGCCCACTGAGGAGGGACGTCCTGCGACTAAATGTCGCAGGGGTGCTTCAAGCGAGTAGATCTCCGACAGCGACAGATTGGCCAGCAAGAGGAAGCCTAGAAGGCACCGTAGAAACCACTCGCTGTCGTCCAGCTCGTCTCCCTCCAGCAATGCTTCGTCTGACTCGTCCTGCTCCTCATCGTCGTCTTCCGACTCAGTCTGGTGCTTATCGTGTCGATCGTCAAGACGATAGGCTCTTAGGTTTTGACTTCGATGCTCTAGTCAAGTTCGTCGACGCCGGTACGTTTCAGTCGATAGCATCCAAGAGTGTCGGCCTCCACTTGGCCATCGACGTCTCCTCCGATCTCAAGCCGGTGCAGAAACAACACGTGGGGAGACTGCTCGGCGACCGACAAGCTGCCATCCAAGCTGCGTAGGCTGTCTGGGTGGCTTAGGGTCGCTCTGCGTGATATGCAGGAGGGGGACAAGTTCAAGCATGTAGACATTGCTGGACGCTCGGGGTCTGGTTCGGGGGGTCGCTCTCAGGCGGGGGCCTTCCAACCTTCGGACACTTCTGGGTGAGGCTCAACTTTAGGCGTCCACCGGGTGTTGCCATTCCTCTTGCGCCCACGACCGTTCGCAGACACAGAACTACCACCCGCAGGATGCTGGCCGTTCGACGGGATACGACTCTCGCGGTCGCACGGGCTTTCACAGGGATGCTGGCGGAGGCAAGGCTTGTACAGTAGTATCGTATATTTAGCAGGACATAAGATGCCCGTTTTTCAGTGCAGCCGTGGGCTGTAGACGCGCTTGGAACACGTACCCGTTGCAGCCGCCTTTCATGGGTCCTGGGAGCCAGCAGTGGCCAATGACGCTGCCGCAGGACCCGAATACCGTCACTTTCGCTCACATGCCTCATGCCGCCATGCCACCGCCTAGTACTTTGCCGCCTCACACGCTGCGTGGTGGGTCAAAGAGACCCAACCTGTCATTGACCGCCCCGAGCCTGACCTAGGACGTGCACGACAACTATTGAATCGCAATGTCTCTGTCGAGTTTCCCCCAGCAGTGACACCTGCCGGCGACGGCGTCGCCGTCGGTAGTGACCTTCGACGTGCCGTCATCGAGACTGCCATCGCTGGTATCGCCGATGTCGGTGCCGTCGCTACCAGTACCGCCGCCGCCGGTGCCGCCGCTGGTGTCGCCACAGTCGGTGCCGTTCGTAAAGACAGAACCATCGTCATTAGCCGACGCATTGCCAACGCACAAACCATTTGCCGTCGTGAAACCGGAGGCACCGCCCCTCGTTTCCGTTGTGAAAACGGAGACGACGTACAATGTGTTTTGCCACAGGAATCATAGGTCTCGGCTATCGCGGTGTCGGTAGCGAGGCCGCCGCTAAGGGCCATCCAGCCAGCTGCAAGCGATTTCTCAGAGCCAACTCGGAGAGCGAGGGAGCGGGGCTGGGACTTTGATTCCCCTTGAATCACTTCAAAACCCCTCAACGACGCCAAATATCCATATCCAACGAAAAATCAAAATCCAAGAAGCGCTCATACAACGCTCATGTAACGCTCATATGCAAACTGTACCACCCTCAGACACTTAAGTTGCTCCATTACACCGTCGTCCTGTTTCTGTAGACGCAAAGAAGGGGAAGTGCGTCGTGTGCATGTCTCGATTCCATTTACTACTTCACCTGACGCGCGGGACATTGTGTACTACTGGGCGTCATATGGAACGTCCCACGTGTCCCATGGGATACCATGGGACAGCTAGGGACGTCCCAGGGCTGTCCCATGGGACACGTGAGACGCCCCATGGCGGCTCCCTTGGGACGTCCCATGGCGTGTCCCATGGGACGTCCCACACGTCCCACGCCTAGGACACCCCATGGGACAGTCCTAGGACGTCCCATGTGTCCCATCGGACACATACATGGGACGCCCAACGTGTCCCATGGTGTCGCGTGGGGCGTCCCAAGGGTCCAATGGGACGCCCCACGCGTGCCATGGGATACCATGGGACAGCTAGGAACGTCCCACGGGACACCATGAGACACGTCCGACGTCCCGGGGCTGTCCCATGGGACGGCCCACATGGGCTCCCATTAATGTAAGTACCCGCACATCAATGGGGGGTGGGATTTCTGGCCGCTTCCCCCCAGGAACCAAGATGGATTCATTGATCAACTATCCCAGATTAAGTAGAGATCCTGTGTACTCGCAAGCTGCCTGAACGATGTGTACCTTGACCACCCCCGCTTTGCATGTA